ATTCAAGATGGTGGTCGTATTGGTAATAAGGCCTATTCAAGATGGTGGTCGTATTGGTTATAAGGTCAATTCAAGATGGTGGTCGTATTGGTAATAAGGTCTATTCAAGATGGTGGTCGTATTGGTAATAAGGTCTATTCAAGATGGTGGTCGTATTGGTAATAAGGTCTATTCAAGATGGTGGTCGTATTGGTAATAAGGTCTATTCAAGATGGTGGTCATATTTATTCGATTATATCAGGAGATTTTACCTCGACCTCGTCTATGTACAGTACAGTGCTGTCAGGATTGTTTTCATAGAGTTTAGGTACTTGTATGTTAGCTATTGCACCTTCTGCAAAACTTGGGCCGTGGTTTCGGATCTGTCGATTAAGATAAACTTGATAAGTCAAAAATACAGCATGTAATACCACGATGCTAGTTAAGCATACATTGTGACCGTAACAAGTATTTGTTGCAACGATTGACATGGTTTTTATCCATGAACAATACAGGATAAACCCAGCCCAACCTAACAAAAAAAGCATTTTTATCTGCTACAGATACGAATACGCATTTTCCTCTTGAAGATGACAAATAAGACACGATAGTATACATAGGTACAGGACATACTGTAACGGTATTTATATTAAATAAGACACGATAGTATACATAGGTACAGAACATACTGTAACGGTATTTATATTAACCGGGCTTCCTGTGTAGAGAGAGTCCGCCATGTTGTTATGTGAGTGAKTCCAGTGTGATATGAAGAGGACGTGTTTGAACCACAACGCAGTTTATAATAACTTTATTATAACGTAACACTCACTGTTAGGGTCTGTATTATGACAGGTCCCGTCACATTCTTGCTCACTGGGTTACCTGTGTATATGACGTCATGAGGCTGACTCACCCTATTACAAGTACAAAGTGATTTCACTTTTGTTTAATAATTGTCGGCAAAATTAGTTGAAACTACAGCATACGTCGTTCTAGTTTTGAATAACGTAGAAATACCCCGTCTACCATAGTAGATCAATGTCGCTTTCAAATGCACTTACAAGCATTAGAGAAAACTGAGAAGGGGAGGGATGATTGAATGAATTTGGGAACGCATCACACGACAAGCACCACAATCAAGGTTTACCCTGTTAACTCCATATCAGTCAAGTACTTGGTGGTGATAGGTATAGACACCATGTTATTGGCTTGGTTCGTATCGTTACTTGCACTGTAGATAAACAAATTGATTGGTTTTAATTTCTATAGAACCCTGGTCAAACACCAATAAGACCTTTCATTAGAACACAACAAYACCAAGCATTTGATAGCAATGAAGGTCATGTTTTTTTAGCTGCGCTTGTCATGTGACCTACCTGCTTACCAAAGCACTAATGACAAAGTCATCCGTGACGTCATGGGCAGTAAACTTGATTGACAGCGACTTCTGATTGATAAWCAACAAAAGTATTTCTATCACTAAACTCACATGTGGTTGGTTCCATCATGTGATAATGATTAGTGTCAGGATACCTTTGTTTGGGGTTTGAATGGGTTGCCAATTTGACAGGTTGCTAGTGTGGTTTCGTTGCCATAATRCGAGGAACATAGTACGTTCTAAAAAGAAAGACAATTAAATGTTGTTATGGCTGTCATCGTTGAATGAAYTATAATATCAATAAACAATTGTGTATGTACCTTGGTAGATGTAGGTCCAATATAGCTTAGATTWTCCGGGAAATAAAGGCTGACAATAGATTGGTAGGACGCGTCCTTGGCATTGTTCTCGATGTTCATGTGAACAGTCAAGACGTCTTCAGTTCCAACAACCAATACCGTATGATTACTACAAAAATATGAAATGTATTAGCTTCATATTAACAAGGTGTATCACTAATGGATTATGAGGGATGATATGGAAGTAGTGAGATTAGAGTCGCTCCCTCACGCGAGTCAAAGATGACGTCCAGCCTCCAGAGGTTTCTCAGTGTTAGGAACGCCTTTCTTGCCATCTCGTTAAACCATAACCCATAGAGAGGTACGTACTGGTAGGAATACGGCTGATTCTGCCTGGGATATTCCTTTGTGTGTCCTACTTATCGAAACCAATTCCTCGTACTTACCCAGGTAACTGGACATGCGCCGTGACGGATAGATCTGGTTTACAAACTTCGTGTGAGCAATGTTTCTGGAAAACCACCTGGAAGAGAAAGAATATTCTCCTTAAACAATACACATCACGTGACATCATTGAAGGCCGAAAGGGAGCACGGGATAATCATTTGTATGTTTTAGCTTAGTATGGACTATTACAAATGCAGCATTCTGATCATATCAGATAATAGCCTACTAGTGTCATGTGACATTCATAGATGACGTCATAAAATACTGCAACTACCAGAATGCTTTGTCCACTTTCTGTTATAATGAGATTTTTATTATTATTATTATTATTATTCGTCATACTCCATAATATATACCGCCTATTTCGCTACACAACCTCCTTAATTACCTCGTCATTTCGTACTGCAGTGGGTAGGTATTCGTCAAGCATCGCGCAAGGGATATTGGGTACAGACTCACAAGCTTTGTCGGCCAGTGAAAACTTTAAATCAAATGTTAGCTTTTTAAGAAGATCCAGAAAACGAATATTCCTCTGAAAATCAAGAAATCAAGACTTAGAACAGGAGGTAAATTATAAATTGCCGGGAACCGAACCCTAACCTTCCATATAGCAGACGAGAATTCTGAACCACCAGTTCTGACACTAGGATTTGATTTTTACATTTTAACCTATAATAGTATTTTTATGAAAAAAAAATATTTGCGATACGACATGCCTGTCTTCCATCATAAAAAGTTAGACGAAATATTCATAAAAAAGATGGTAGAACTTCTACGRTCTTGAGTGACCAGTCCTCCGACCTATTATAATGTGGAACGCGAAAACACTTGTGATGCAAGATGAACGCGCTCGTGTTATAATATGATTTCACCTATTGATATTCCAAGAACMAAGCAATCATGTTTATTCGTAAGAACATGCACTGGTGGTTCAGTGGAAGAATTCTCGCCTGCCACGCGGGAGACCCGGGTTCGATTCCCGGCTAGTGCAAGCTCTTTTTTCTTTTTGATCTTGTTTAATTGTAAAAAGTTATAACCTGCAAAAATCGAACGATAATATTGACACAGAGTCCAGTCCCAGATCCTTAGCACGTCCCAGCACGCTTCTCGAACATTTTCCCGAGACAACAGTTCAACAGAGCGGGCTGAGTAAAAAGGGTCTGGAACTGGACTAATTAATTGACACGTGGTGTGGTGATCGCAAAGCGTCACAAGGCTGAAATACGCATTCATGTTATAAGACTGAATTGGACGAATCAAATATTGTCTACAACYATCGCATGTCACCTGCCTAAGTCATCCTTGCAACATGGCTACAACTGTCGTAAGGTTATCAAACAATTGTTTTTAATCTCTACGTCAGTTGCAGCCATGTTGAAATGATGACTTAGGCATGTTGCATGCATCAAATAGTTGTAGGAAAAAGTTGTACCGTCTGAATCGGCCTTAAGAATGAGTTACGCAGGTTGCATGCGATGCTTGAAGGCATATGTTGTGCATTGATAAAGTATTCAATAAACCACGCAAAAAAAACCAATACTTTTTACAGCAGATAGCACTGGTGGTTCAGTGGTAGAATTCTCGCCTGCCACGCGGGAGGCCCGGGTTCGATTCCCGGCCAGTGCAAGCTCTTTTTATTATTTTGTTAACTTGTACAAGAATGTAAGAATTGAACGATTATACTGACACGCTACCTTGAACAGTGGGTCACAGGAATATTAGTCCAGAGCAACGGCCAAGAATCACAAGCATTATTTGTTGCACTAACCTCAACACGTAAAAAATCAACAGTATTTGTTTAAAGGAGTTAGCGCGCTCATTCAACTCTATATGTTTACAAAGTTCCAGTATGTGTCACAAAACATAACTTTGGTGTGATTCAACGCATGCGCATGCAAGTCCTCTGAACTATTTTAACCGCGACCAACAGTTCAATGGAGTGGGCTAAGTAAAAAGGGTCTGGGACTGGACTAAGTGTCACGTGGTGTGGTGATCGCGTGGTAAAGGCTGAAATACGCGCATGCATGTTATACTGGACTAGCTTTTCCCACGACTCGTTGAGCGAGTGCAAAGGACTGGACTAGCTTTTCCCACGACTCGTTGAGCGAGTGTAAAGGACTGGACTAGCTTTTCCCACGACTCGTTGAGCGAGTGTAAAGGACTGGACTAGCTTTTCCCACGACTCGTTGAGCGAGTGTAAAGGACTGGACTAG